TAATTGCAACCTTGATCCTAACCGCCTGGAATTCGCCACATGGCCACTTAGAGAAAAGACTGGGGATATATTCCCGTGTCCTACCAGAGTTACTATACGTCCCCTACCCAAAAATTAACATTCGTAGAAAATTAACTAAAGTTCTTCCTTTAAGAGATTTTGAAGCGCATGCCTTATATCTAGTTGCTAACGAAATTCAAATTGCATATTGCTCTGGTCAGTATTAATTTGTCCGCAAAAGGTCTGGTGGATCGCACATTGGGACGCTCATGTACACTGCATTAGCTGCAATTATTTTCGTGTTAATATGCTGGGTATATTCGGAATACGCGCAGCTCTACGCTACTCTCCAATTTTATCTGAGAAAATGAACGGAAGTGAGAGCAAAAGGCATGTATGAAACTACAAATGAAATGAGAAACCGTCGCGCAGCAAATGGATGACAAGTTAATAAAATTCTTTCATTTTGAAATCTCGTCTAAATCGTATGATTTAAGAATTTGAAGCAGGTTGAAAAAATGCGGTCAGATATGATCTGAACCTACTCAAATTTTTACGTAAATGAAATGGGAGTGTTTGATCGGGATATACCGGATATGGACGCACAAACTGAGATGTTAGAGTATTTTCATGTCTGATGTATATGCACATGTAAGTAAAGGTCTTTACCCTTAACCCGAGCGTTTGTAACCCATTTTGTGCCCATTTATGGCCGCCAGCTAAGTTTGATTATCAGGAGTCCAAGGGCGATAAGGTGAACCCTGTGGGGACTTGGTGTCTGAATGTGAGGGTTGATACAGGAATCCACCCTTTCTCTGTTCCCATGGAACTTCATTTTGTCGTACGGGGAAGTCATTTACTGGCCGGTGCTGTGAGACGGTTGTAGGCTTTGCACCCTGCTCCAATTCACTATTAGATTGTCCGGCTTCGGCCGTCTGGGTGAAACCCTTGTGTGCTAATCCACGTCGTCTTTCACCCCTCCTTCTTCCACGGTTTCTGTTATTTCGGTTTCTTCCTTGCCGTCTCCTCCCTTTACCTTTTGCTTGTTCCTGCTTGGAGCTGCGTTGTGTTCCATTCCCAGGAGAACGTCGAGGAAGACTGAAATGATTATTTAGAGGATTCATCAGATCCACATGACACAACCGCTTCCCACTGGACCAAATATTTTCGATGGCTCTTTTAATGTCCGTGTTCTTGTCGTTTATTTGGGACAAATGTTGAACCTGTAAAAGAAGAGAAGATGCACCATTTCAGGACATTAAGGAGTGCCCAGGCCTGTGGTTTAAAAATAAAAGTGGGCTGTTCACACGTGATTTTTGCTGAAGTCTGCCAACCGAATTCGCAGGTAAGCATGCCATTACCTCATTGGCGCAAGTCCTACTTTCCACATCAGGCACACTACTGTGCAGGACTGGTGTCAATTGCGAAGACTCGCCACACAGAAGTATTCCACACTTATTTCGTCAAAATACTAAAGACTTTAATCTCACCTGAAGATTTCAGCCATGGATCCTAAAAAATGGCGTTTCTGAGAAACAAAATATGACTCTCCGTCATTAGGAATGGTTTGTATTAACCGAAGCTATTATTTTTCCGCGTTTGAATGCCGCACATGTTTCTAATAACAGGGTTGGACCGGGTTGTTCTGAATAATTTTGTGTTCACTGGACGTTGAATACAATCGAAAAGCCCTGCGGACCAGGTGAAGCTCTGACGTGGTTATAGTAGTATCACTTTGCTATGTCAAAGACTAAGCTGCTGACGGCTCTAAAAAGGAATGCCCAGAAGTTTAAAGAATGGAACATTTACCTTTCAACGACTGGTACGCACATGATCATGCTATTTGAACTTCTCCATAACTCACAAAATCTAGCCAAGTCGACAAACCTGAACAAAATTCCCGTCTGCCGAGAAATTCCCCATCACAAGCCAACGACCGGCTCCGCCTCGCTGCATAGCGGCTGCCTTTATGATAGGGCAGTCACAGTCCACCCGATACTGTAACTTTGAGGCCGGGACGTTGATAGCAGGCAGCTTGTTGGGGAACGCTCTAAACTTGCCTCGTAGTATGTAGCTGTCATTCCTCCCGTCTGTTATTGTCTGAAGATCCTGTACTTTTACTCGGACCACTGAAGAAAAACGGTACAGGGATATTCATGGAGTGCGAGCGATTTATTCTCATGAAATAAATAAACATGGGTTTGCAAAAATAAACGAAGTCGGAAAACTTTAACGGCTGAAAGACAGCTGATCCGTAATCCATCCTCATTCCTCTTTAATATTTGCGATCTGGGGATGTCTGATTCCTAAGCTTTAAACAAGGTTTAGTCGCCAACTTAATTATTGAAAGTACTAGCCTTTTAAGTGTTTCCCTTGTAGATGGTCGACTTAATACCGTACAAATGAACACATTATGTTCGCAACTTCAAATTATCAGACATGTTGCCGGAAGCGTGACACCTTTGACACGGCAAGATTTTATCTTTCATGCAAAATTAACTTCAAGTGACAAACATAAATGTAGAATTAAATATGTGCCTTTAAAATATTCGATTTACTTAGGTAAACCGCAGATTTCAAGGTGAGAATTTACAGCTCTTAAATTTTGCTTCAATTTTGCCAAATATCCCTCTAATAAGTGCTTGGCTTACCGTTTTAGACATAATTCAACTCAAACCCATCAAGATTTTGTAGATTGATCGAAGAGGAATGGCAATGCTCAGCTCTCAAAGTCACTAAATATGACTTTGAAGAGGTCTCTTCAATAAACTTTTAATGAGTGACTGTAGAGAAGAACTGTTAGTTCTGGGTTTCCAAATCCACGATTTTTGTAGAATTTAACCTGGAGAGTGCATGTATACACTCCGGTAGTGGGTGAACTAAAAATCAATACAATTTCAAACTATGTTCGAGAGACTTAAGGAAAATTAAATTAACGAAGGTGATAAGCTTAGTGTGCAGTAATTTGCACTTATGCAGGTCTTTTGAATCAAACCTTGGATTAAATTCTGCTAACAGATCTGCCTCTCGCTAGTGACAGGTACGTCGCGTGTTCTCGTTTATACTTTCACAACGACAGGAAGTTATTGAAATTATTTTCCCTTTTCGTCCTCAAACGTTATAACCACGATTTACCTTGTTTTGCAAAATATTATTTGACCCATCTTTCCGAACATTTCGTCCTGTATGCATGGAGATGTCTAGTTAAGCCTAGCAAAAAATTACTCACTTACTCTGCCTATTCGTTGTCGTCTTCCAAACCAACAGCATTCAGGCCAAAACCGATTTTTCAGTACAAGCCTGTTAGCCGAGAAATATCAACTTGGCTTTTATGACATGTTTCGTATATAGCCGATGAATCGTTTAACGTCAATGAGAATAGATGTCTTTAGATCCGGCCTAAATCAGTCAGGCAAAATTCAGGGATATTATAGTCGTCTAGTGATACCTAAAATTTTAATGGACAATTATCTGAGGAATAAAAAACTAAGTACCCTTTCCTAAAACGAAAAGCCGAAAAAAGAAAAATCCAAATCACACGAGCCTTTAAATGGTCGACTTGCTTTATTGTATTGCCTTCATGAAAATTGTATCAATTTAGAATCCATTAACACAATATTTATGTATTCGAAGTATTTCACGTCAGTAATAAGTAATATTTTACTGAACGGATTAAGAATGAATCATAGTTCCTATTAAGCGAAAAGTTTCATCCGAAACATAGGTTATTGGAAGCTCACCAGTATTAAAGTTGCAATAACTTCCGATGACGCTTTCATATGTCGGATTTTCTACACAGCCAAAGCATCGTTGTTCTAAAACAGTTCAAAATTCGTTGATATTATAAGATCCGAAAGTGAAAAAATAACCAATGTGATAAAATTTTGATAGAGCCGAACATTAAGTGTTAAAGCTTAAATCCAACCGTCCAAACTTCGTATCCAGAATCCGTAAATTGATCCCTTTTAAGTTAGATTAAATGAGTCCATCATTATAGCCATCTACCGTGTTCAATGATAAATGGACAAAAGCCACAAAATCTGATGTCTTCGGCATGGAAGGAATATCACATTTGGGAATAGTGCGATTTCTTATTAATTCCAGTGTATTTAGGTGTGAGCTTTCTGACCGGCATTTGGACTACAAACTAAAAAGGAAGACGTTCACACTTGATAGAAAGATTTGAAGGTTGTATTCCATAGCTACTCTGGTAATATTTAGTGTTTTTTCAAAAGATAAGATGTTTAGCCACCAAGACGTGGGTGCAATCTCATTTTTTTACTTTCCCAAAAACCGTATGTTCCAACAACCTCTGATTTAAATTATTAACACGAAAAAATATCCATAAGCTCTCTTCTGACGAAGTCCCCAATAACAGACGGTAACAGAAAACAAGGATTCTATTGGACTGCAGTGACGTTTAAAGTAATTTATAAGAAATTTTTTTGATAAGGTGTGCCACCAACGAGATCTTCGCGAAATACTGGCCTGCTGGCGCTGCTGCCTAATTATCTATGTGAAATCATTGCAGAAATATGTTCTTAGATTCAAGCATCAGTTAGGCTGTGCTCTTCTAGCACGGTGCAGTGCAAACCCGGATTGCTGCAGCAATTCTATCTTTTTTCTGAAAGCGTAGTTTCAGAATAACTATTTGGTGGTTTTACAGTGCTATCCAGGTTCTCTTGCCTTTATGGACGCAGATCTGCAGTGAAAGTCGCCGAGACGCGGCCCTGTATAGGTTTTGCGGTGTTTTTCACAGTTACTTTGAAAACCGAAAATGAGTTTAGTTTTTACTACAGTTTCGTATGCTCTTCAATGAGAACGTAAGAAATTTTGTCCGTAGAGCGGAAATCTAAGGTAACATACCTTTTGAACTATCATGGTGGCATAGCGTGAGCCAAACTTAAGGGAAGCCAACAGTCAAAAAAGATTTCAAATATTGGAGTTTGCTGAGTTATTAGACAATTTTATGGAGCATATTTTCCTAGCATTAATATGAAATTCCCGTTTCTTCTAATAGCTTATTTTCTGTTGCCTACATGGCGATAAATATCACAACCGGTGACTACATTCTCAATGATTAATATAGGCTAAAGAAACGAATGAAGAAGGCCAAAACAGGGAGTGGAAGTCCGTAAACAGTCGATATGTCTGAGAGTCAACTTTATTTCGAGGTCGTTTGTCCAGTGTTTTGTCTGTGTTGTTCATTATTGGCGCACTAAATTTGGCGGCACAGATGTTTGCTAACTTGGTAAGATTGGGTAATAACAATGGGAGGCAACGATCCGGCAGTACTTTACTCTTAGACTGAAAGCAAAAATACCCAATAAATATCACTCAACAGACGAAAATGCATTTGCTTTTTTCCGCCACCCTGAACTAAATGTTTGGCATTTTTTGAAGACCTAAGGATCTGAAAATACGCGCCGGTCGGTTTCGACAGGGCAACGGGCTCGTGGTTCAGTGGTTAGAGGCGTGGGTTTCTAACTGACCGTTCGCGAATTTGAGCCTCGGGTGTTCCACACTTCGGGGTTGGGTATGACTGGCTGACGTCGGCAAATAAACCAGAAACGGCCATTCCCGTCTCCCTTGCCTTTGTCGGTAATAACACACTGCCTATAACATGCGCCGTTGTGCGGCTGATGGTTGGGCTCGAGAGAGAGCCCGTAAGGCACAACGGAGCGAGTGACTTCCGTAAGAAGGATCGATGAGCGCCCCATACCATCATGATATTTGTCTTTCCTAGTAAGGGACTATTTAAACAAAGGTCATTTCAGTTAACAACACCACCAAAAGGTTCTCACCGCGTATCCTCACCACTTCAATGTTAGCCTTATTTTCCTCAGGTGTAAACTCCGCGTTTTGGTAAGTCAATGAACTTACGGCTATTTAATGATAGGAGAATTGGAGGACCACTAAGGCTTCATGGCAATTGGCCGAGTATATGCAACTTACCCTTTGTCTTTAAGAATTTCGACGTGATGATCCATAGATCAAAATATATTTCTTCCATCTGAAAATACTATATGCACCGACATTTGACAAAACAACCTCACCTGGGATAGCACGCATTTATTAATATCTATTTCATCTTATTGCATATCAGAGTCGTTCAAGTCACAACTGCAAATGAACAAGGGCGCCCTGAAAATTGCTGTTACTTAATACATATTTAATACTACAGAGAAAGCATAACATTACTTCCATGCCAAAAGGATAAATGGCAGATTGCGACAGCATCGAGTACCACGTGCGGCTAGCTTTACCAAAAACCTAATGAACTTGTGTTGGGAGGGCTTAAATAATGGATCCTCCTGCATGGCACGAAAACAGCATGCATCAAACAGTGCACCGAACGATGGGTAAGTGGAGACTGTCTGGCAGTCCTTAGTGGCTGCTAGAAGTTCGCCAGAATGCACCATGAGTCATCGACTGGTGTGTACTTTGGTCTTGTGGGAAAAGTGGTTCTAATTTTGCTCTCAAAATCCTAAAAGGCTGGCTGGATTTTTTAAAGGGTGTACACATGAAAAAGATTAGTTAGATGTGAGTAGCGAGCCTGAAACAACGGAAGTTTAACCAGGAGTTACTTGCAACATTTACTGGCTTTTGAACGAGCGACTTTCCAGCCATATGAGAACATTATTTAAGGAATGTATATTTGTTCATCGTTTGTTAGTCTATATGATTTAAATATTATTTAGCAGGAAGAAGTGGAAGAATTTATTTTACATAGGCTTTTTGTAAAGACTTATATCTTCTTTATGTTTTGTATTTTGAGAGGGGGTATTCTACCTTTGACGGTACTATATCCGTATCTGAGAAAAGCGTGGAAGTCAATTAATGTTATGTCTCATTTCGCTCATGGTTAAGTCCTTTAAACCGGCTTATCGTTCACTAAGACTTGCAGAACTCAAATGAATTCTGATTTTTCGGCAAACTAATCAAAGTATCCTGAATTGGAGCAGATCCATTATCTGTAGGAATAGAGGAGTGAAGGTTAGCATGGGTGAAGAAGACAGCAGTGCAGCATTTAGAATGTCATGCTGGAATTCATCAAAACTAGTCTTGCTCTTCTGTATTAGACTTCCAGTGCGGACAGAAAATTTTGCAGGAGATACCAACGAGTAGCGAAATCTGTTAGTGCTTTTCCGTCTTACTTAATCCTAGAGGGTTTGTGCTAAAGCATAATCGATCATTAAACATTTGCTTACTTACGTTGCGGCAACCACCTTTCCGAAGGACAGTCAGGAGAGAATAAGAGACTTTTTAAAAATTTTAGAACTAGGATCTAGACAATGCGGAACCTCCCCAAGTAATGTAGGCTTTCAGTTGTGCTGTTAACCGTTCGCGAATTTACAAACTTCTCTGTGGTTTACCGGAAATTGCCTTATTAGTTTATCTTAGAAACGTCATAATAAGTCGAATTCGGTACTTAATATAGGAAACTGATTGTCAAATCATACGTATCTGGGAGAAAAAGACTGCTATACACTGAAAGACAAGTTTTAATTCGGACTTTCCTAACTACTTGAGAGAATATGTTTTTTAGCCTATCGACTTTTCTTATTGCACAAAGGACTCTTTCCGTTGGTTTTACAATAGGCTCAAAGACCGCTAACTGTTTGTCCGTCTACAGTTGATGCAATATAGTTGGGCTTCGTGGATTTCCGGCATTTACAGGAACTGGTTCTTCCGTCATAGAACAATTTTGAAGCACTCAGTCTCAACAACAAATCCTCGCAGACTAACAGCGTGTGGCGAGGTCCTGAGAGGCTGAATTTCCAATGCATCCGTTGCTAAGATACAAGTTTTCTTCCAACAAAATCTTCATATTATGTATCCCGTACTGCAGATAACTCTTACCTGACTCGGATTTCTGTTTTAGTTTGATGCTAATCAAAGCACAGTTTCAGTATTCTTAGTGTTAAATCGAGAAGTACTCCAAATATCGCTGACAAAACAACGTAAGAGTTTAATGGAAATGATGTAACCATCTATTGCTAGATCTTTTTTCGGTGCCGAACCGACAAAATTATGCCTTATTCAAGGAGCCATTTCATACTCGAGGTTTCAGAGAGCAGGGATCTCCTAGTTTTCCTCATAAAAAGCGAAATGTGCACGAGATTTCTATATGTCCATAGATGAAAGCGAACCGCACCCATTCAGACTGCACCCTCGAATGGTTTGAGAAGAAGGCGAAGAAGTGCATATAACAACTACCGGATTCGTTTGTTCTTCTTGACCAACCTTTTCATCTTACCCGGATAGAAGTCTATTTTTTGACCTTAACTGTCTCCAGAGACAACCAGGGTATTACGCAATTAGCGCGATATAATGACAGCCCCTATCGCCTTACGAAGGAATCTTTCCTGATCAAAGAGCTCTGGGGGTATGCGACCTAACAGATACATTCAGCTCCCTGCGCTCTCCTTTTCTTCATTTTCCTCCTCCTCCCCGCCTCTTCCGCCTCCTCCTCTTGTCCGCACGCATACGAAAAAGCAAGAGTTGGTGTACATTTGCATTTTCTTCTTCCCCCACTGTCGCTTACGGCAGTTGATGTACAGGAGCAGCTGCCTTAGCGTCTGTGATCTTAGCGCCCAACAATTGCCGCAGTGAAGCCTTTGTCTAACCGCCTCATTACCAGATTGAGGCCACCCTATCGTCCGGCCTGTCTGCTACTGATGCTGTTGATGGGGCTGTTGTTACTAAGAGCACTCTCGCAGGCTCCCCCCCTCACCAGGTAGCCTGATTGTTTCGATGCCCACTTTGCGCACACGCGTGCAAGCAAGCATGTGTAATAATCGTTCTGTGCACTAGGCCAAGCTCTCTGCCAAAACACTATTAAGAACTTTCAAAACAGTGTCTACCAATTTACTAGGGATTCGCCTAAACTCCTTGCTAGGGTTAACGAGTAACGTCAAGGCAACATTGGACTGGCACTGCATAACTCTGATTCCTTTTACAATCAACTTCCTTATATAATATTAACGATAAGTCTCTGAATGTATGTACGCGATTTGAGTTGCAATTTAGTGGGGCGATCATTGATAGAAAAGTTCTCTCTAGAATGATTCCGGGGTACATTTAATAAGTCAATCTATAATTTCCTTACACGCTCACACTAATTGCAACATTGAATAAAGGGCTTTCCTAAATAAAAACCAAGTTCACTATTTTGGGCAAGTTCGCATATTCTTCGTTTCGAACAGTGTCACAAGATTATAGTAATTTATCAGCCAGGTCAAACACGACTGCACTGGCCCTGTGCTTAAATGTACACTTTTCCACCAAAATAGAACTTTTAGATAGTCATTGGGAATGATTTCACCGTATTTAATTGTCCACACCTCACATGGCAGTCATGCATTGGACGTTGTCAGTACTAAGGATTAAAGAGAAGCTTATTTTCCTAACATCCAGAACATAAACAGCTATAGTCATGGATACTGGAAGAATATAGTGTGTGAATTTTTTTCAACATCTTCAGGAAATTAGGCATTATCTTTTCGATTGCTTCGTATTTCACCGGAGCGACCCCCCGTGTGTAACTTGAGACCTGTTGGCGTGAGGTATGGACGACCGTTAAACGCTATGGTGCATTTATCACCCACGTTTGTATCCGCAAAGGTATTTTTCCATTGCCAGCGTCGGTGTTGTTGTGGTGGCCGTGTACTGTCCGCTTTAGACTTCCTGGTTTAGTTTACAGTATTTAACGTCGGACAGCGTAATGCAACGGTCTGTGGATAATACTATGATTGTATATCTGGCGTCCACTGTCCTGTGACTGTGCAGTCGCTCCACCTGACAACACCTTCGACATTCTCGGAGGCCAGTGTACGTCCTAGTGTGATGTTGTGCCCTGTCACATAGGGCAACGGTGTTTCCTTTCGACCGCATTGGTGGGACGCTTCATGATGCCAGTTGTCCTCTATGTACGCCGAATGCGAAGGATAGCGGGCGCTGCTTGATATCATATCAGGTAAGTCCTGTGCTTTGTGCTCTGTTTCGGCTTGCCCTTTCAAGATATAGAGTGAGGTGGAACTGCAGATATCACTGGGGTCGGGCGACGGTTCTTGACCCATCATTGGCTTTGAGTACTTCATTTTTTTCAATTCATTCGGAAAACACATATTTTTGCTCCTTTTGTTCCATTTAGTTCTATTCTGACCAGAATGACTTATTTTCCAAGGATCGCCCAATTATAATAACTCTCATTGTCTCATCACATAAATTTTATTCAGGCGCACCAACAGATACGCTCATAGCACAGAAAACGTCATACCGATTGATTTACGGTGAAAACGAACAGAAAGTTATTGATTTGAGCTGAAGATTTCACTTCCGTTTGTCATCTGCGAAGAAGGTCGCAATAGGGGAGGTTATGTGAATTTCTCAAACAATGGATTCGGAAGACAGGTTTGAGTGAACGACTCTTAAATTTTGCTTTCATTGGTAGTTGTTTACGAAATCGCACGTTATTTAATAGTATTCGAGACGCTAACGGAGTTTCTGATAGCTTCTTCCGTTAGTTCCTCTCCAGCTTCCTGTCACCTATCATGTGCATCGGACGCACTACCTTTTTGAGTCGTTTGTTACTGCCACTATCTACCGGAATCCAATGCTCCCGCTTGACGAAAGGGAAAAATATACATGGACCTAAGAATTTTCGGAAAATGCCTTTGTTAGCAAACATCGTATTATTTACCATAAAATACAGTTTATACCTTATTAGGAAAAGCCCTCGATTCCAACGAAAAGTTATTTGTCTATTCCTTCGGGGGCTAAAGTTTTCGTCATGTAACCGCTTCTCATGATGAACTGTTTAAAATATTTCATCCTTTAAGGCAAATTCTATAGGAGAAAACGTTCTGCTGATTTTCAGAAAAATCGCACAATTGACTTGCACACCAGCATGATACTGATTCTATCAGGGATGTTACATAGTACTGCCGGATATCGGACAGGCAAGAAAAGAGTACTGAATTTATGTTTTCAGGCTCAAGTCAGGTCGAATCGCAGAAAAATTACTACTCTCTCTCACACACGGCCTATGCATCCATATGGAGCCATGCTGCACCATATCAGTATGTGTTTGCCAAGCTTGCACACTGCTCCGGGGGCTCTGATGAATATTCGCTTTTTATGACTAGTGAAAAATACGAAATTCCAACATTGCGTAAAATGTCCGTTCTTTTGGCTCAACGGAAGTCTAGTTTGGCTTCGTCACTTTATAATGCCTCGTGTTAAACATGGTGGCCTATCAGCTAACGGTGACCCGTTCTGACTTTATCTTTCCCTCTTCGGAGAGTTTTGCGCATTTTTAATCAAGTGTGTATCGTGAGCTTCCACGCATCCTAAAATGGACAGAACACCTTGCACGTTTATAGTTCTCAAATAAACAGTCCACTGTTACTGTTCAGGGAAAGTGTGTTCAGGGAAGAATGTGAGTACTAGGAACGTGCACAGTTTTCTAAAGTGTCTATTTATGACTTCTATTGCAAAATAGGCCTGATAAATAATCAGGTTAAAGGAGGTCGTAATAAGATCCGTATGCGAAATCTGCATGTAAAGCTCATTAAAAAAATATGCGAAAATGAGTGCTATTAGAATCTGCACGTGATGGATAAAATATTACCGAGAATTCGAAATCATTACACTGCCGACTGTCAGAAAAGTGTGAAAAAAGCCATAATTACACCGAAAAGCTTCATGAATAGTGACGCTGTTTACTGAAGAGGCTTGGTTGATTAACAGGGCTTTCGAATGCGAGAGACCAGTGTCAGTTGATCTTTACATTTATCTCTAAATTACTTTACCAAAATCGCCTGAGCATTTTTTCACATTAAAAAAATATTCCTCATACATTAACTGGCAGTAACAATGTTTTCATACTAGTGCGAAATAAGATAATTCGGTTATTTCTTAAATAGTTACTTTGAGAATGCAATTTTACCTTTTACAAATTACTAACGTTCAATTAGTTTTTCGAGGCGAATTTCTTAATTTTGTGACTCTGAAGGGCAGTGCTCCTGAACAGTTTCTGCTCTAGCTCGGAAGAATATTGCTTTAAATGAAAAACATTTTTTGTGTCTAGATGACATCTAAACAGTCTAAAGAGAAATCCGGCAAATTTAACTAAAACAAGGCCCGCTAGTGTTTCTATTTCTATTTCATACCATCAGTTATTACTTCCCCTTAAGAACACCTATATCCTCGTTTCAGAACTGCTGCACATCTGTAAGCCTGTCCTTGCTAAGCCAAGGCCAGCTACTTAAGGGAAATTACTTTAAGCGTGGCACAACATTTCATGACACTCTGAACTGAGTTTCATTTCCTATTCACAGACGCATTGATGCGCATAGTCCTGATTAGCTTTGTTCGGGCAGTCGGAAACAGTAAAATAGACACCTGATAAATCAGCACTTACTTGTCTGCTTCTTGGAAGGTATGCAGACCTCATTTTGACCTAGAGGAAACTTGGAACACGTCACCATGTCGGGCCAACGAAGTCCGAAATTTGACATGATCGGTAAGCAGGCACCTCTCACGCTCTCGCACAGATCCCGGCACGGCTGTATCAGCTTTTCTTTATGATCCGCAATACAAATCGGAGCATAAAGTGAGCATAGAAATAGGCGCAGCTCCTCGTGACAGCCAATGTTGACAAGCGTCAGCCAGACCTCCGACTGGGCAATCACCTCTTCAACCCTCGCATGTTCTAGACTGTTCGGCAGCACCATCATGTTGTAGCCGAGGCCTGTGCAGAGTTTCATTTTCTTAGGAATCTCATGACACTCATGTGACCCATAGCCATTCATGAGGTGAACCAGATCAGAGAAGTAGGAGGACCCGCCGGGGCCGTTGGCGCCTTTTTCTGTCAGATTTTCAAAGGGGTCGTGGGCTAATCCATTCTGTTTATGCTTAGGATCCCAGAGGTGAGCAGAGGTGCTGGCAGCCCGTGTCATCATCCTGGCATGATCGATCAGCGCCAAACCAGCCAGAGATGCTGAGATTATAATCAACAAATTGGTGAGCACCATGGGAGGCAGTTCTTTCTTAAGTACTTTTTAAACAGAAGTTAACTTTAGACAGTAGTCATCGGCTGCTTGATATGTGTGCTTTTGCAGACAGAGCAAAAAGTGGACGTGCTTGTCTATCGGCCAGAATGGAATAAGTGAATTTGCTCCTTCGTTTCTGCAGCCAACGTGTGCATATGGGCGTGCGTGTGTGCTGCTGAATGACCAGACCTGGTGGCTCCAACCTGTGCCAGTGCGGATACCAAATTTCACACACTCGCACCGGCGGACGCACAGAAGCAGCATCATCCGCTAACCGGGGCCGGCCTCCACCTGTGATGCGCATGCAAGCGTGAGCCGGAGCGGACGATCTCACAGCTGATTGGTTAAGGTGTTAGAATACTTGTTCCTTTCGACTGTAATAGTAATAGTAATCATTGCTGCTATTGTAGGCACCAGTTCGCGGGCTGTATGGGGGTGCACAGCATGTTTGCAGCGAAAACCTCGTGGAGTGCAAATTCGGTTACCGTTTTAAATTTCAGAACTCGAAGAAGTTTTTTGTTACGTAAAAATGTGGGCGAGCCGCAGGTAGGCTGACGAGAAAAAGGCTGTCTCCAAGGAACAAGAAAGAGAGGGAAGGCGACAGAGTTGCCCTGGGGTTCTTTAACAAGCAAAAAAGTAGCGCTGAAGTGAAGAGTTCAAACATAAGCCATTAACTAGTAGTGGACGTCAAGAAATTCGCCCCTGACCGCGGACTTTACCCTCTGAAATGTTCCGTAAATGACTTTTCTCTGCCCTATGCTAGTAGATAACTCGGATGCCGGAATAGAGGTTGAGAGCAATAATAGAAAACGGATTAACCAACTTTCGTTCTGTAGGACGATAGACAGCAGAAACTACGACAATCTAATCAGCGGTGATTCAGTGTCTTTTTAAACCCACTACCAAACAAATAAAAAAATTGCATAACTCAAGGTGTCTGAATCCAGTAAGTAAGCACTGGTCTCTCAAACAAAAGGTAACATTTATAACATTAACGCTCTTTTGAAGTCTATTTCAAGAACGGACAACGTTTGCCTGGTACGAATAAGTCATGTTTAAGTGGTATAGCAGGTGAAAGAAATAGAAAAACATAAAGGTTAATGTCATGCCAAGCGAATTCAAAATATGCGAGGCGAACAACAATACAGCTATGATTTTCGACGAAATTATTGACAAAATAATTTCACTTATGGGGTACAGATAATATAAGATCAAGGTATGTGGCCACTTAACGTTCATCTGAAGTCAAAGTCTGGTGTACAATTCTTTTAATCAAATGGCCCTGGACTGATTCAGTCCTCGTCAACAAATTAATATGCGGGAAATAAAATGAAAACAGCAGTACTGTAGCTCAAGTCTAATAAAATGTATAATGGAGTGAACTCCAATGTTGCAGGGTTAGAATCCCGTAGGCTACATAAAGTTATTAGACGCGCTTTGGAAGCAATGAGCGCACCATACGTTAAGAGGTGGGCATACGTAAAGGAGGTTGCACTCGCTTGCCTAAACGATTCCGCAAACATTTACGCTGACTGTCATTGCCACGCCGCTGTGAATAGTCATCGCCAAGAGCCATGAGTCAGATAAGTTAAAAACGTCATTCAAGATAAACTTCAAGTGTTACTTCTATGGGGAGTTCGCCACAACGGCAAACCAGCACTTTCATCTTTATAACAATTTGGACTCCTTTGAGCCTATCACGATGCGCTAATAGCTGTTGCTCGGAAGGCTGCCTAAATGTCCTCATGGTGAGTATAGTTGAGCGACTAGAGGACTAGTAGTCAGGCCG